CACACTTTCACTATGTAATCAACATCTAAATCCGTAGAAAGGTTGATTGTTTCAATCACTCAATTCATCTATGAGTTTCTGGAGTTTCTAAAGGATCTATTATTATACTATTATCCCTTTGGGAAAGTTTCGGTTTCAAGATTGAAGCTTATCCAAGTTAAATAGGATAATTAATTGTTTTAGCGGTTGTATTTGTATTTAGCAGTTGTATTAGTTTACTAAATCTCTTCAATTTCAAAAAAGAAAAACAGCTTACCCATGTATGCCGAATGAATATAGAGATATAGAGATATTTGCGATAGCCGGCTCAATTTCTCAACTGCTCAAATTGCTTTCAAATATCGTCCCTTCAATTACCCAATCTTCGAGATTTAAATTCGAATATCGATATTGAGAAACTCGTGTTTGAATTTGAAAATTGAAGATCGAAAATTGAATGTAGAATCGTTTCACTTGGGCAATGTTCAAGAAATGAAATATCGAGAATAGATATAGATATGTTGAGAATGTATTGCCCCTTTGGTGGTCGTAAGTTAAACCCTGAGAGAGGAAAGAGATTTGCGGTTGAGATAACCATTCGCTCAATTTTCTTTTCCCACAAAACCCAAGAAAGAGTCCATTTCCCTTTACCGAAAAACGAGATTAACAAAGCGTAAAAAGAAGAAACGGGAAATTGAAAAGATTGGAAAAATTGAAGCTGCCATTGGGGGGTTTGGCCAGCTTTTTCGTGGGTTTTATTTAATTTTAAAAAGCTTGTTTCAAGTTTTTCTAAATCTAATGATAGTCCTTAAGGGTAATTAAATAAAAAAAAAGATGTTTTTTAGAAATAGAAATTTTTCTAATTTTTCTAACATTTCTAATTTCTGTATATCTGAAACAAATGTCTTTTTTTTGGTTACAAGAAAAAAGCTTCAACAATTCCTTTTTAAAAACATTGGAATATTGAATTTTAGGTCCTGGATTTTGACTTTGACATTGACATTTTGATATTTTGATATTTTGACAATATTAACAAAATTTCTAACAATATAAGAATATAAGACTAACAATATAAGACTTCTAACAATATAAGACTATAGATTTGATTATAGGACTAGTTACCTCATTTCTCTACCTTTGAAAAGGCTTGAAAATCGGAATTTTAACTATTACCGAATCAAAGGAAAAACTAAATAAATCCAGAGTGAATTAGTACAATTTCAAATTCAAATGAAGGCCATGAATCCAAAAAAAACGAGTTTCAAGTCGATTTTCAGCCATCGAAATGGGGTATTCGAATATTCAATAGTCCGAAATTTCCCTCTTTTCCCCGTTTTTTTTTTTTTGATTTCCCTTTTTTGTGGTTCATTGTTATTTGAAGGAGAAGAGGGATTCAAGGATTTCCCACCCTTGAAAAGTGCACAAAAAATGGAAAAAGAGAGAAAAAGAGAAATTTCTCAAGGCAATTTCGATTGAAGACTGAAGGAAATTGGCTCAATTGCAAAAGAATTCTATCTTTTTAATTTTCAAAGTCGCCTTTAATAGTTTAGCTCAAGACTTTAGCAGCTTGATAGCTTTAGCAGCTTGATAAACTTAAGGATAAGATTGTAAATTTCAGAATTTCTAGGAAGTTGATATTAGAAATGATATTAGAATGATAACAAATTGTGCGTGATCGTATTAGAAAGCGGCAGCTATGTTTATTGATGATTAAGTTGAAAGTGTTAAGAGTTTTATTAAAGTGCTTTCCTTTCCGCTTATCCGTTCTCTAAAAGACACAAATTTCAGCAAAAAACTACCGTAATCTGTTTTTACTTTTATTTGGCAGTTTGAATTGAATCAAAGGAATTGAGGACACCTTACTGCATTCTTGAATTCTTCTCAGCTAATCCGTTCTCTAAAAGGTACCCATTTCAGCCAAAACTATCGTAATCTGCCCGACAGTTTTCATTTGATCAGCGCAATTTTGGTTTCATTGAATGAGGCTTGTGATTCCCTGATCGAATGTGACCCAAATTGGGCTAATCGAAAGGAAAATGAAAGGTGGATTACGGCTAGTTTTGGCTGAAATTAAGATGAATTTTAGAAAACGGATAAAAACAAAACAAAAAAAGTTAATAAACGTTAAAGTTAACGTCACCAAAAGTTAATAAACGACCAGCAGGATACTGGATTATCGCTGGAGTTCTTCACCGATAGCTAACCAATTTGAAACGTTTAAATTTTAAAACCGCTACAATTTGTTTACTTTATTTAGAAAGTTGTTTTACAAAAGTCTTTACAAAATCCAGTCAAGGATACTAAAAGATTCTAAAGTTAAAGTGACAAAATTTGTGTTTCAAATTGTTTAGATATCGTTGAAGCCGAAGAATATAGTGCGTATCGAAATACATGAAATTTGCAAGTTTCAAATTTTGTTCTATGAGTAAACTGGTTTCCAAATTTGTTTGATCCATTAAGATCCATTAGGAATTGAGTTTTATCGGTTAGGAATTGAAAAGCGTAAATTCGATTAGATCGTGCAATACTTTGAAACTAAGCTTTTTAAACGCTTGTTTTTTAGAAACAAAGACAGCGAACAAAGTTTTGAAAAAAATTTAAAACTTTTGTTTAATATCATACCAAGAATGGTTTTAGCTAGCTTTGGTGTGATATTGAACAGCAATGAACACAATTTCACGACTCTTTTCCCAGCATCGACGCGCGGACGATTTGATGGCCGTTTTAGGGGTGTGATGCTGGTCAGAGAAATGGGGAGAAAAAGAAGAAATGAAAATGGAAATCTGGAATCTTGTCTGGATTTTCTAGATTTGTTACGATACTGAATTGAAAGGTACTAACAACGATAAGAATGGACGATTGGAAAATAAAAGTTTCAAACTGTTGGAGATTAGGGGAATTTATTTGAATAAAAATAAGCTAAGGAATTGACCGATTGATCATGACCACCGTAGATTTGCTACGATACAGTAGATGAATTGAAAAGTACTAATGAAATGTGATACTTAATGGATAATGGATAATGGATAATGGAAACAACGTGACCATAATTTTGTAAGAATTTTTAAAACAAATCTAAATGAATAAAAAAGCATGGAAATGTTCGATACAATGATTTGAAAATAGAGCACAAAGCTGTGGTTGTCTAAATTTTAAATCAAATTTGCAAAGGAAAAGAAAAGCGGTCAAAGATTTTAAAAATACATTTTTATTGAAAACCAATAATGTGATACAAACAAAAGATACATAATAAGACATAAGGGTCTAAACACACAATTTTATGGCACTGCGCCCGTCGTCCCCCTATTACTCCTATTACCCAAATGTTGTGAAAGAAAAAAACCCATTTCGTGGGAAAAACAAACATTTTTATCTTGCCAGCGTGATTGAACCCTCGAGCTTCGGGCATTAAAAACGGAGGCAGACTCTCTAAAATCCCGGGCTCGCTAAATCAACAAAGGAAAAGCCATCCGGTCAAAGATTCTACTTTGATTTGTGATTTGTGAAATCAAAACTTGAAATTGAGCAAAACATTGTTTCAATTTAAAATTAAAGAAACCCGATTAACGATAGTTGGACATTGAAAATCCATTATCAAATCGACTTTTGCATAATGAAAGTTTCATTTTGAAAAACCCCAGAAAAGCCTCCAGAATTTTAATAAAATGAAGTGGCGAATGGGAAATGAAAACACAAAAATCTTCACAAAATAAAAACGATAAGGATTTTTGGCGTTTTTTTTTCAAAGATCAGTACAAAAGCGTGGGCTTTTCAGCAGCCAGGATTACTCACCGAAAACTCGTGGCTCCCTTTTTGGGTAATAAAATTTGGAAAGAATTTCTAGAAGCTAATTTGATGTCAAGGTGTTTTGATGGATCTTAATTTTCCCTGTTGGTCATTAGCAAAATCAGGCTCACTTATGCCTTCAATCTTTTGAAACACGAAATATTTAATCTTTTTTTTTTGCTTTTCTTTGAATTCGATCAAAAAAACTTAAAAAGGCATTAAAATAATGGATTCTAACCCCACTTTAAGCGCTTTGAAACATGAAATTTTGTTTCAATTTTAACAAGTATTTCTCAATTGCTAAAGGCTAGTTTTTTTAATGCAATCGTTTAAGAGGAACAGCTTAAAATCAAAAAAAATTGAGTAATCTATTGAAAAATCTTTCTTTACGATATTTTATTAGAATAAACGCGCTTTGTTATTTTGGCCAATAATCCACTTCCTAAAATGAGTCTATTTTCCCCTTTCTATCGTAATTCTGTCTCTATTGCTTATCCAAACTATTCAATTTTTGTCTGATTCTATGAGGGTTCAAAAAGGATATCGAAAAATCTAAAAAAATGAATAGATTAGGTAAAAATAGAGACAAGATTACGGTAGAAAAGGGAAAGCCGGACACGGTTTAGGAAACGGTTTAGAAGAAAGTGTAAGTTGACGTTATATCAAGAAATCCAAAAGTGACTCTTTTAAAATAGAAAGTATACCCGTCTCTGCATAAACCCAAGCCCAAAAAAACACCTCGTTAACCCCTTCTCTAAAAGAGAATCAAAGAAAATGAATGTTCAGCGATAAGTCAAGGCCAAAAATAGGGCGATTTTCTCGTTTCCTCTTTGCACTTTTACTGAATTACAAGTTTTTTGCCGAATTTTTTTCGAAACACACTAATCTCAACCCTCTCCATTTTTTTTATGAGCAATACATAGAGATTAACGAGTTTTTTTTGGGAACACCCCAAAAAACAAATGTTTCAAATGTTTACGAAAATGTTTAGTTGGAAGGATTTTAGAGTTTTGACCTGGATTGGAATTTTGGGCCTTTTAGAAAGTTAGTACTGAAGAAAAAAAGAGAAAAATAATCGATGTTTCAAGTTTTGCATTGTGATTTCTCAAACTTTTCATTCAATTTGTTTAGCCAACAGCGAACAACTACAAAAGGAAAATTAGGTTCTTGGACTTACAAATTTCAAAAAAACAATCACTCTTGGACTCTTGGACTTTAAAAAAACAATCACTCACCGTGTTGTATTCTCTCCTGACTGTGCTTTCGGCCCAAATAAGCGACGTATTCACTGCTGCTGTAGCAATCTTTTGGTTTCCCCTGAAATGAATAAGATTGAGTTTCAAAGTCTCTCTTTTAATAGCTTTAGATTTAGATTTAGTAAGCTTCTTTTCCCATTTTTTTAGTTAATTAAAGATTTTGTACTATTAATCTTTCAAAAACAAATCAAACAAACAAATGACTCCAATGTAGATTATTGAACTGTAAAAAGAAAGTTGATTTGCAGAGATGATATTTCAAAAGTGTCACGGTGTTATAGGAAAGCTATCAGCTTCTAGAAATCTCCAGATTTGATTACTAAAAACATTTTAGCTAACTAAATTAAATGGAATAATTTAGCTGACTAATAAAAGCTCAAAATAGAAATGAATGTTTCAATGTAAATGAGATAGTGTTCATGAGCTGCACAATAATTACAGATCTATCGAGTAATCTGCAAATACGTTTTAAAGTTCACGTTTCAAATTAAACTATTTCTAAGGGGAATTTTTGTCATTAATAAAGTCTTGAAAATTGTTGAATTGAGAAATTCATAAACGAACAAACAATTCATAAAGGAATCATTTTCGATGGTTTTTTTTGACAAAAACAAGTTTACAATAGCTACTATTTGAATGAATAGTTTTTATTTAACTTTTCAAAGGGCTAATTTGCGTTTTGGTAAATTAAAAACGATTGTTGTGGTTGAATTTGCAATTATTCAATTAGGCATCGAGATGAATGTTTCAAAAGAAAAAATTCAAAGAACTTCAAAGAAATCAATAGAAAAATTCGTATTTCTTTGATGAAAATGTTAAAAGATTTTAAAGATTCAGTTTTTTTAAACGGTTTATGTAAATCTTGAAAAACAATGTTTCAATTTAAGTGGAGACACTTTTCAAAAAGAAAAATTAGTTGTTTGCTTCTTTAATTTTAGCACAAAATTTACTTTATCAATATTTTTTTAAAGTTTCGCGATACCTAAACGTTTCAAAATGGTCTGCAAAATATAGGCTTTCAACAAAAATACCAGAAATCTATTCAGTTTTGCTCTTTTTATACTTTTTAATTCGTATACTGTAATGTAAGGCTTTAAAGGCTTCAAGAAGCTATGTGATAATGATTTAAAAAGCTCAACAGTTCAACACTGACCCGTGGATCGATGAGAATTCGGTGCATCGCGTCCGATGAGTACGAGGTCTCGTTTGGGCGAAGTGGTGGGAAAAGCTGAAGTTCGTTGCTAATTTGTAATTCGTTTTATTTCAAATTTGCGAACTACAGCCTTATAATAGATAAAATTCTGTCTATAAAGTAAACAAGTGCCTTTTCGATGTTGAAAAGTTGTTGTTTCAAAGTGAGCGCCTTGTATGAGCTGTGTGAAATGCTAGTTTTTGGATGATTGCAAAATAAAGTGAAAACTGTTTCAGTTTAAATTGTCTTCCTACATTCTAACTGAACACAAATTCTGGCTATCTAGCTTGTAGTTTAGATCCAATTTTATCCTATACTTAAACAGACTTTCTCGTAGTTCCAAGGGGCACAATTTGAAACAACGATTTCTTAACGGTATAAAGTAATTGCAGACTCTTCTTGAAACATTTTAAGAATTTTAAAAAAACTCTGCAGAATTATTGATGAATCAAATTACTTTGAGAGAGCACAAAGTACACTTAAAAAAATAAATTTTCACCTGGTACGGACTCCTCTCGATTCGAGTCAAATTCGGACTCGATTCACCCATTTTCTTCAGTTTTACGTTCAGAAATCGACCTCCACCACTCGTTGAAGAGAGCTCCTCACCGTTCCACGCTTTTCCTGAAAGAGTTTTTAAGTAAAATAAGCAGAAATTTCTTAAAAAAAATAATAGGGAAGTTAAAAGAATCTTTTCTTAAAAGAATTTTTCAGCTTAGCTTTTCATAAAATTTCCTAAGCGCTATTTCCTTATCAGTGTCTTTTTCTTTGCTAGCGCCTCTCTAAATGGCCCAAAACATGCAAAAATACGACTACCAAGGCAAATATTATGAAAGAAAGCATGCAAAAATTTTGGCTTTTTGGCGAATAAACAGTTTTTCTATAGGAAAATTGATGTGTTTTACTGGTTAATGAAGCTAGATGGGTACTGTAAAAATATGAGTTTCAAAATTGGCAAGTAGTCGTCGAAATTAAGTACAGTACATACTAGAAATAGTCGTTTAATCTCAAGAATAAGTCTAGATATACGATGATTTTTTGTAGGACGAATATATCTAAAGGCTACGGTACTGAAAGTCGAAAAGCCCAGAGCTAACAGGATTTACAATTATTATTGACTACGTTGGTCCGGATTAGACCTGCTTAATGAGTCGGGGCAAAAATTTATCAGACAGTCTGCCTCGCTCTTCGATTTTTAATACCCAAAGCTCTTTTGAGCATGAAACCCAGTTCCCCCGCAAGCCCTTATTTTAAGCTTCTTTTTGATACTAAAAATGGCTAGGTTCTGTTTTGCCATACTTTAGATTTCGATCATTTTAGATCAAATTTTTCTGGACTCGTTAAGCGTATCGAGTCCAACGAAAGATTGATCGAAATCTAAAGAATGGCAAAACAGAACCTAGCCATTTTTAGTATCAAGATGAAGCTTAAAATAAGGGCTTGCGGGGGAAATGGGTTTCATGTTTGAAGGAGCTTTGGGCATTAAAGAATCGAAGAGCGAGGCAGACTGTCTGAAACTTTTGCCCGGACTCGTTGAGCAGGTCTAGTCCGGGTTACTTGTACTCTCTATTAACTAGCTTGAAACTTTAACTTTCTTGCATCAAAATTCGTCAGCTTCAAAGAAAGATTATTAAAAAAGACATATTCTGACATAAAAATAGAAAATGTTGTTATTAAGAAGGTCCAGACTTGAATTACTACACAATCCTTTCTTTCTTTTATAAACTTAATTTTGAAACATTATATTTTTAACAAAATCTTTTTAGTGAATTAAACCATGTAATCATTGAACAATGAATTAGAATTGACTATTTTCTTCTCACAGCTAATTCATTTCCTAAAAGACATCCATTTCAGCTAAAAAACTATCGTAATCCCAGCCAGTTTTCATTCGATTAACGAAATCTTGGTCAAATTGAATGAGCCTTGTGATTTTTTCATTGAATTTCACCAAAATTGGGCAAAATGGAAATTGGTGGCTGGATTACGGTGGTTTTGAGTGAAAATTGAATGGAACGGATAAGTCAATATAATTTTTACCTCCTCTCGTCACGGCGATCGTGTTGTAAAGGCTTCGATGCGAAGTGGCCTCGACAAAGCGGCTGAAAATTGAAAATTGAAGAATTTCAAAATGAAATCAAATCGATTTAACGATTTTTGTGGTTAAAACTCGAAAATTTTGCAAATTTGTCAAAGGAAATACCAAAAAAATGGAATTGCGAGTGTTTATTTGTTGCCGGAAAGATCACAAGATGTAAAGGAATTTTTTGAAAAAATGATTGAATGACTCACAGTGATGGAATTTTTCAAGAAGAAAATCGTCAAATTTGAAAAATGAAAACTTTTTGAGTGAAAGCTTTCCCAAATTTTCTTTTCGATACAAAGGAGCTGGCGTTATTATCAGCTTTCTTTTTTTACATGCAATGTAAATTGAAACATGAAGAATAAAGCGATAATTCATTAAGACCAAATCAGTAAGGTGACCTTAAGGTGACAAAATTTGAAACTTTAAAGTCTAAAAGATACAGGAAACAATGTTAGAAGATGAAAGAAATGCGTGCGCTAGAAAGGGATTGTTTACGAGGTTCGTGTGCATAAAGTAGACCAGAAAAAAACAAGTTTACAAGATTTTGAGCGAAAACAGCTTTACTGAAGAATTGCAAGTGAATGCAAAGGTTTGGCGTTGAAAAGTTTGAAACTTCTACTTTGAATTCGGATAGATTCTCTTGAATTTCGGAAACCGAGACTTTCTTCTCATTTTTCCGTCCGAAAACCATCTGGAGATCATTTTTTTTTTTTTTTTTTGTCGAGAGAACTCCTCTAAACGTCAATAAAGTGTCAAAATCTCCTCTCAAAGCCTTTTTTTCTAATTAGGGTTCACCTTTTTATGCGAAGTTCACCAAAAAAAAAGCAAATATTCCAGATTTTAGCTTATAAATTCTCTTCTATCCAAAAATATTTATAAGGAAAAAGGAAAAAAAGCGGAAAATCCGGAAAATGACCGCCTTGACGCCTTGACGAATAATCCCATTTCGAAAAAAGGGAAATCGTTATGAAAAACAAGCTCTAGACTCATTTCTAGAGCAAATATAGATATAAGCTTTAAATTTTTAAACAATTTGGAAGTTGATTTCAAAAATGAATCCACAAAAAAACGTAATTTCACTGTAAAAGTGGACCAGTTTAAGTTGTTTAAGTTCTTAAAAAAAAAGGGGGTAAAATTTGGATCATGTTTCAAAGTGTTTAAGTTTAAATTAAAGAACAGAGCTTTAACGGCTCGTATGCCCGTAACGGCCCGTTTTAACGGCCTTAACCGCCCGAGTTAAAAATTTGAATAAAAATGATTTCGAAAAAGGATTTTTGGTCTTAAAATGGCCTCAAACAATATGGAAATCTTATTTTTTTTAAAGCAAATCTCAAAGTGACTCTATTATTAGGTTGATGCAAAAGTCTTTTTCATTTTTTTCGTACTTCTTTCGAAAAATAACAAAGTCATCAATTAACCTATGGTTTGCTCTAAATGAAAAGTGTTTATTGTTGAATTTCCCATCTTTTTAAGTCAATTTGGGTTCACTTTCAAGCAAATTCGAGAGTGAAAACGGGTTTTTCATAAAAATCTATAAAAACCTCTATAAAGAAATTGGCTGAATCAATTTCTCTGAAAATCTGAAAAAATATCTAACTTTTTGTGCTCTATCTTTTATTTATTAACATCAAGATTGGTTTCCTTAGCTAAAGCGTCTAAAATGCATCATCGAGCCGTCGCCTTTTTTGACTACCCGACTTCAGGCTCTCAAAAAAATCTAGACATAAGACATTTTAAACTCGTTTTAATGTCCTTTTGCAGAAAAATAATTGGCCTTTCGAATGCAATAAACCGTTGTTCAATTGGTGCATTTGTTACTTTCTAACGGAAGTACGAAAAAAATGAAAAAGACTTTTGCATCAACCTAATATTACTTTAACAAATTACCACTTCAGCTTTGAAATGTAAAACAGCAAAGTTGAAACAAGGTTTTCGAAAATGAGATTTTCTATGAGATAATGAATTGAGAATGAAATGTTTTCAATCTTATTTGCTTGAGAAAACGGGCGCGATGAATAATAATAAAGTCATAGATAATAAACAAAAAATGAAGGATAAAGACTATCGATATCCTACGTCTGTAAACTGTAGAACGTCTAGAGAATGCTAGGCAGTCAAGTCAACAATTGGGCAAGGCAAGGCAAATTTTTGTCGAATAATTACAATAATTTATGATTTCAAAAAAAGCTGAAAGAGTTTGACTGCGCCTAGTATGGAATAGAAGAGAAGACTTTAAAAAAGAGTACTTGAAAAGCTCTTCTAAAGAGAAGACCTAAAGATGATCCTCTAAAGAGAAGACTTTAAAAGATGTTCTAAGCAGAAAGTGAGCGTAAATCTTCAAGTTTCAATATTTTGGTTATCACGTTGAAGGTAGGGAAGATTTAAAAACGTCAAAAAGACGTGAAACTGTTGAAATCGTTCATAGTGGCAGTTAGAATTGCTTTTTTTACAAAATTTTGTTTGTCAGGACGAGCTTTTGAATATTAGAATTCTGAAAGCCATTGGATTTTCTAAAGCTAGATGCATTACCTTTCTTTTGAAACATGAGATTTTTCAATTTAAAAATGAAAATTTAAAATTAATGATTTAAAGGCTAAGAGTTCTACAATGAAATACAAAATTAAAAATCACAGGCAAAGCAAAAAACTACGACCGGCTTGACGTCGAAAAACCATTGAAAACTTGAAACATACGTATTCTTTGCAGAGGGATTCGAGTATGTATTACTCTTTTTTCCTCTTTTCGAATTCTTTTCCATTCTCTTACTTACCCCTTCCCCCCCCCACTCATATCTGGCTATTCTATTCATCCACCCCAATCCCCCTTGTTGGATTGCTGGGGGGATTCGATGGCTCTTTTTGGGGTTGCGGTGAGGGAAATATGGAATTGAGGACACCTTACTTGAATTCTTCTCAGCTAATCCGTTCTCTAAAAGACACAAATTTCAGCAAAAACTAATCTGCCCGACAGTTTTCATTTGATCATTTGACCCAATTTTGGTTTCATTGACTGAGGCTTGTGATTTCCTCATCGAATGTGACCAAAATTGGCCTGATCGAATAAAAAAATGGCGGGTGGCTGAAGGTTGGAACTTCATGTTTTGAGCTTTGAGAGGGTAGCAAAAAACTAATAGACAGTGTAATAGATTTATAAATGAAGATTAAGACCTTGTAACTGAAGAATCAATAGGTTTCAATGACCACAACTATTTGACCCTTGGCCTATAAAGTTTTTAGGCTTTGCGAATTTCATGTTTCAAGCTGAGCCAGAAGTAAACATAGCGCGGCTTGTCAATATGGAGATGCCAATCTCTAGATTCTTAATTTAAAAACTATCACCTGCGTTTGTGATAAATATTTACAATTTAGAGACTACAAAGCTTGCATTAAAGAAAGATAAAGAAAAATGTATGTTTCAAAATGATTGGGGCTAAACTCCAAAATGGCAATGGCTTAATTGAATCAACGAACAAGAAGAATTGATGGTATTCATTGGGTATGTACGAATGTTCAACTTCAATTTGAACGGACAAATCAGTCCAGTAATTACTGGAACTTTAAGAACTAAGTGCACCAGGAAGGGGCTGTTTACGAGATTTGAGAGAGAACAAAGGACATAAAAGAGAAATTTTCAAAATGGTGTTTCAAGTTTATCGGCATCAAAATGAGTTTTGATAATCAAAAGAAAAATTCAATAATTTGATTCTCTTTGCGAAACAATTAGCTGCGGGGAGTTATCCCGGGTCCAGTCCCGTTTAATCACATGAAACATACTTTTTAGATCACATGAATTAGATCTTTTTAGAACACATGAAACATACTTTTTAGAGAGCACAAAAGTACAAAATTGCTTTATTTTGGTGACACCAATTTCTAGCTATACGTGTTGGTTGAAAAGAATCGAGGTTATTGAGGGTATTGAAGCATGACTTTCCCCTCTTTTCCCCTTCTTTTTACTCTTCCCCAATCCAGCTAGTCGAACTCTTTGTACAAAGTTTTTCGACTTTCGGCTTTCATATATCGGGATTTGTACAAGTACTGTTGAAATTTGAAAAGGAAGAAGAATGGTTCTTGAAAGATACGAAAAATTGCAGTAATTGGTAGCCTTTTTTTCGTACCATTGATGAATAACCGGTATTTTCTTTGAATAATCAAAATTCATTGATAAACCTTTTATTGACAAGCCTTTTATTGATAAACCTTGATTGAGTTGAAACTTTGAGCTCTCTAAAATGCCTAAGGTCTAAAATTGCGACTAAAATTCAAAATCAGATCAAGAATTAGGTAATCAAACGCGAACTAGACTTTATTGGCACACCTGGATCAAGTTGAAACTTTAAAAAAACTAGCTCAACATCAAATGCTGTTCTTTCAAGAAATCGATTCAATTTCGGACAATTTTGGATCAATAAAAAAAACAGGAAAGTTCAATCTATGAATAATTTAAAACTTTAGAATTTTAGCAATTAAAAAATAGTTTTGTATTTAAAGCGATTTCGCAAACAGATCAAGAAATAATTTTTTTTCAGGGACGTAAAATCAATGTTTCAAATTTGCCAATTAGAACGGTGAGAGCTCAACCTTAATCGCTTGATCTTTCAAGTTTTTAGTAAGACCGATACGAAAATGCAAGAACATAGCTTCATCTAAATGATTTTTCGACGTTAACAGGAGTTAATTGAAGTCAAAATTTGTACTAAATTCTACTAAATTCTCTTGATAAAAGCTAATTTTGAAAGCGGTAAAGAGAAAGGTTGTTAGATTTTGGGTCAAAGATCAAAAACGATCAAAAAGATCAAAAACGTAAACGTTTCCAAAAAATTTGATCATGTTTCAAATTTTACAAGCTATAAAATGAAATCAAAACTTTAATAGGCTAACTTTTGGGAGGAATTTAAACCTTAAAAAAATTTGTTTTCCTATTTTTCTGTGGTTTTTTCTATTTTGAATCTCTCAATGACTTTCTCTTTCAAAAAAAGCTCACAAGGACTATTGTTGTGCTGCAAAATTGCTCGCA